GAGTTGAAACAAGAAAGAGAACCAAAAACACTTGTCAAATGTCCTTCACATAACCAAGAAAAGGAGAATTATTGTAAAGCCTCAATAAATAGCATATATTCAATGTCACTTGTAAAAGCAAAAAATATACTCCCTTGTAATGATTTGACCAAGATAACATAGGTGAAGAAGAAGCATCTATACTTTACAAAAATTCTTACCCATAATACCTCTAAGCTCAGTTATACAAACATCTACTAGTCCCTCCTTCCCATCCACAGGAATTACAGCAACTAATTAAATCTAATCTTTTATGGCACAAGTAATGGGTGGTACCACCTGTATCAACATCCCAAAAACTCAATAAACTACTCCCCATCTATACAATATGAGTATGGAAGCAACACATAATAACAATTTCTTTTGAAGATATTCTTAATTTTGTTGAAGATGGTTTATTTTGGGATTAAATAATTATTTAGTAGGACATTTACAACTAATTATATGGCAACAATATAGTCACAAACATATTGAATTCCATCTCTTGAAACATACTGGTGTATTCACGATTCATAAGTTCAAGTGGCTTCCTTATGCCCAAACCCTTTCTAATTATAGTTCTTACTCCTAGTTAGATTCTTCTGGAAAATTTTGGCATCAAAATCAAAGTCCATGAAAGTAAAAGAAGATGAAGAATTGGCGAATCATCTAATAGAGAAAGTCTTCTAGCTTCAAAAAGAACCCATCCTACAAAAGCTCAACAACAAATGGAAGTTAGTGATGAGGAAGAGATATTGAGTTGGCAGAGAAACACAATCAATGGTAGTTGAAGGGAGAATAAGGTGAAATGGACTGTGGAAAGACATAATGAGAATGAACAGTGGGCAAGCTCAGTGAAAACAAAGAGAACACAAGCCATGGTGGTAGAAAATGGTAGGCCAATGGTGGAGACGATAAAGTGAGCAAGGAGGGATGCTCGTGGATGGAGGTGGGAGCTCAAAATGCAAATGAATAGCAATGTTGAATGGGTGTAGGACATTTTGATCCATTCATCCCATCCTTTTTTGAATATTATAATGAGTTTAATTCTTAACTTTCATTTAGTCCTTGGGCACAATTTCCTTTCCAAGTAGGTCTTTTTCACCAATTCTTCCAAATAAAAAACATAGAGAGAACTTCAGTTCATTTTCTTTTTTTTTTCCTGCCCCAAATATTTCTATGCTTTACACATCTAAGAGAGAATGAAGAAATTATAATTCATTGAAGAAGCCTATAATCCTCTATCTATCTTTCACAAATTTTGAACCAAAAAAATAATAAGAAAAGAGGTTTCAGTGCTTAGCAATGAACAATATTTGTATGAAGAAGATCAATACAAATAGAGAACAAGAAAGTGGTAGTGTATTCTCCCTTTAATTTTATTTATAAGATAAAGAGAGATTTATTTTTTTTGGTATTATAAATCATCTCATCAAATTTTCTTACATAATTCTCCTTTTATCTGACATTAAACATTGATGAGAGAAAATACACTACTAAATTATATATATTTAATATAAGTAAAATTGAAAGTTTATTCAATTTTTTGATAGACTTAATGAATTTTAAAATTTTTATTGATTCTACTAAAACTCTTTGAAAGTAATTTATAAATGAAATCAATCGAAAGAAGGGAGTAATAAAAAAATCATTTTCATATGAGGAAGTCTATATAAAAATAAATATGTAGTCAGACAGATTTTCAAAAAAAAAAAAAAAGACCGGTTAACAATCACCAGTAAAATAAAATGATTACATAAAGAAGCTAATGAGAATAATATTTCTTGGGCTGACATAGACGAGAAAATAAAAAGAACATGAAAAGCAGCAACAAACTTCTACCCTACGATCAGATGGCCCTTCAAAATGTTTCCATTGCAACTTTGTGTCCATGTATAGCGACATGGTTTTGAATTGTTATATAAATGAACAATCATAACAACAAAGAAACAATCAAGGATATTGAAAGAGAAATTATGGATTTTGAATACGAAGTTAAACAATTAATTAACTTTGAAGCGGCCAATAGAAATCCTATGAACTTGAGTCATATGTAGTGGCAAGAGTTAAAACCCAAAGTTAGGGGATACGAAATAATTTAATAAAAAATTAACATTTTTTTAAAAAATAATAATTATGTTATGACTGATTGATATAGTCTTGTAATGTAAATATGTTCTTTATATTTTATCTAGATCAATAAAATATTATATATTTAATAAGTTTTTAAGTCTAAGTATTCTTCATTTAATTAAAAAGGTGCAAAATATCAAGAGTAGGGATGTAAAGTTGTAAATTTTATATGCCCCACTATAATTTTTTTCAAATGTACCCCCTTAATCCAACATGGCTCTGCCGCCATGTGTTATATAAAATTGGGAACATCATATGCATATATATTATACAACTTGTTTGCATGATTGTACATGTTAGTTTGTTTATTAGGAGAGATACCAAGTTTAGTTAACAAGTTTATAAGTGATGGTAATATTTAAAAAGAGATTATCAAGAAAATATTCATGTAAAAATTATATCATGCTTTTAAGGATATGGTGTTGGATTTCTTTTGTCTAACAATAGTAGTATTTTTAGTTTGTGGTGACATGATATTAGCTTTTTTTGTTTACAGGAATGTCGTGCTTTTTCTAATTGTTGGTTTTTTTTTTAAGTGAATATAGATATTTTATCATGATACTTGTGATATATTGACAAGTTGATCTTGATGTTTATAATATTTCATGATCAAATATATTGGAGTTATAAGTATCATGTTTAATTTTAATAGTAGTAGTGACATTGTCTTTTTATTAATTTTAATAGTGTTGGAGATTTTGTTTATATAAGTACTATGATAATTAATGTATAATATATATTTTTACGTAATCATATTTAATTTTAAAAAGGTGCCCACTTTTTGATTTTAAAAATGTAAACATAACATATTTTTACTAAATTATTTAATTTTGAAATATAATAATATGAAGATGCGTTCTTAACGAGTAATTTGATTTAAAATTAACTTGATTATATTAATTTTAATATAATTTTCACTTTTAATTTATGTTTACACTAATAATTTCATAATATATATTAATATAAGGGTGTTATAATTATTATGATATCTGTTTATTTTTTTCCCCTTCATTTTTTCCTGTTCATCTAAACAAGAGGACTGATTTTCTTTCTAGTTTTCTTTTATAAACTAAATTTAATTTTTAATTTAAGCCTGAGGCCTGAAAGAAAAAAAAAATCGAGACATTTAACTACGAAACCGTTTTTCCTGCTCAAAAAAATTCAAATTTGCATAAAAAACATGACTAAAAAATACAGTGTATCTGCATTTAGAAAAATGTCATTTTAAAATATCATGAGCAAATAAGAGATGAATTGATTGATATTAAGTAGGTGAATTGTGATTTTGATTTTATATAATAGATTAATTAATATAACTTTATGATGAACATTATAATATTAGATGAATTTTTATCATCACATCGTATCTTTTAATATCTCAATTATCTTATAATATCTCCTATTATCATCAAATTTGTAAATTTTGATTAGACCGGAGTTATGAATTTATGTGTAGAAATATTTAGGGTGTACCGTGATGATGGAAATTAAAGAAAGCGTTTTTATTCTCTCCAGGTAATTTTGTTTATTCCACCTTATATTATTATCTCTTTCTTTGTTTTATAGTTTCGATTATTTATAATATACTTAATATTAATATTAATATTTTTGAAAAAAACTTAATCAAAAACTCAATATCTAAAGTTTGACTCAGTACAAGTCAATTTTTATAGTTTTGACTTGGTTAAAATTTTTGTCTTAAACTTTAACCCTTGCAATTCATTCCTTATAATTTTATATTTTAATTTATTTAACACACATGTTTAAAATTAAAATTATAAAAAATAAATTTATTATTAAATTTTATGGAATAATGTTTAAGATGGCATAATTTTTTTTGAAAAAGCTTATATTCTTAATATTATATATTTAAAATATTTGTTTCCAATTAAATCAAGATATATTTATAGATTATTTATTTCATAATAAATTCTTGTTAATAATATTACCAACACATTAAAATTTATTTGTCTTGATTTGATTGAATAAAATTATATTGAGTATATAATTCTAAATGTATAAGTTTTGCCCATTTTTCTGGAGACTTTAATGTTATTTTCCTTATAAAAAATCTATGTTTCCTATTAAAAGAATTATTCAAATTTGCATATAAACAAATAATTCGAAAAAAATACACCATTAATGTGCATTTAAAAATGTCCTTTTAAAATAAATAAATAAGAGATGAACAGTTGATGGATGGTTTGATATGATATAATATATTAATTAATATTCTTTTATTATAAATATTATGATATTACATTAATGTCTATTATCTTAATGTATCTTTTAATATCTTAATTTTGATTAATGAGAGGTGAATAGTTGATTGATGATTTTGATTAGACTATAATATTCTTTTATTATAAAACTTCTCAGCTGTATTGTGAGTTGTGGCAATGAAAATATAAGAAAGTTCTCTTAAAATTTGTTTGATTATTTTTTTAGAATAATTTTTTTCTGAAAAATTAAAAAGCCGTTTAAAAATATATTTTCTATTATCTGTTTTAAAAAACAAAAAAATTTAAAAGTTATTATGAAAAGTAAAAGTTTGAACATTTTTTTACTCTGTTACTTTTTGTTTTTCAAATTTGAAGAAAAAAATATCATGTTTTTATTAAGGATACTTATATTTATAAAATAAATAATAATTTCCCCTTTTATTCTCTCCTTTTAATTTTTTCTATCTCTTTATTCGTTTCATCTTTTACGGCTTTGATAATGTGAAAAAGAATTGAACTGACCCCACAAGGACTTTAGATAGAGAGTCAAACTTTATTGCTGAAGTTACTTCCGAGCAACGCGCACTTTGCATTATGGAGTAACTCACAAAACCAACACTTTCAAAGTAAAGCTGAATCACTCGGCCTTCTTCGCACCAACGAACACTAAAAAATATGGCTTAAGACGCTGCCTCTGATCTTCTCCTGTCAGCTCTGTTTCACGAGGATAAAGACGACGATCACACCCCTTTTACCGATGATGAATTTGCTCAACGCTTGCAGTTTCAGGAAACCCTCTACTCCTCCTTGATCACTTCCCAAAACCCACAAAATGATCTGTCGTCGTCGTCATCTTCATCTTCTTCTTCTTCGCTCCTTTTATCTTGATCTTCATCATCGTCTTTTCCTTTAAAAATGGCTGACACTTGCCCTACCCCAGAAACCGAGCCCGTGAAATCCTCAAATGAAGCTTGTGAATTGTAGCAAGTCATCTACGAGACCTGTGCAGAAAGTAAAAAGACTTCCCAGATGTTCAGAAATCAGAGATGCCACCCCTCGTTTTGCTCTGATTGTGTTGCAAAACAAGTGGCCACAAAAATTCAGGACAGCATTGCAGTAGTTTCGTGTCCTGGTTTGGATTGTAAAAGTGATATTGGGCTAGACGCTTGTCGGCCATGGCTTCCCAAGGACTTGCTTCACAGGTGGGATCAGGCTCTGTGTCAAGCTGTGTTTCTGGCAGCCCCTATATATTACTGTCCCTTCCAGGATTGTTCAGCTATGTTACTGATTGAGAATGAGGAAGAAGATCATCAACAAGATATAGGGGAAGCAGAGTGCCCTGTTTGCCAAAGACGGTTCTGTGCAAGATGTAATGTGGCATGGCATCCTTAAGTTGAGTGTGAGGAATTGCAGAAACTGGAAGAGAATGAGATAGTGAGGGAAGATCTGGTTGTGAGAGAGCCTGCTAAAGAGAAGAAATGGAGAAGGTTTCCACAGTGTAGCTGTGTAGGCTCTTTGCGGAGAGGATTGATGGATGCTTGCACATCACTTGCATGTCAGTTTTCTTGCTGCTACTTCATACTGAAGCAATCACACTTCAACTAACTGTGTATGAGAAAGTTCTTGCCTCTGGCTTACTAGTTTTAGTTGACAGGTAACTAACAACCCAGGTCAAACTTTTTTGTCTGTTTTAAAATTTTAGAGATTAGGTAGTGAAAGAATATACTTCACTTCACATGATGAGAATGTGTTTTTCTCCTCTTACTTAATATGAACGAGTTTGTTGATAGAATTTGATTTTGCAGGCGCCAGCATGAGTTTTGCTAGGGGTGTGGAGAACAATGGACTTCTTCTCGTATCTGTATGTTGCCAAGTGAAGTTGGGGATGGAGGAGGAAGATTGAGAAGCCTCAGTGTCGAACCTGAAGGTTCTGGTTGATCTGTCCCACCAGTTTCCAGCTGCTTGAAATTGATCTTCCGCCATGGCTGGTTAATGAAAATGGTGGTGGGTAGATGTTCTTGTCAAGAGCATCAGATTCTTGTTTTGTGAGAAGAAAATGAATTTAAAACCATCCAATTCTTTCTCTATCAGTGTCAGAATAATGCTGATCATTGTCAACACTAAACCGATGATTCAAATCTGAGTAGAAGAGTAGCTAGATGAGGTGGGGGTGTGAACACCGAACCGGTCGGTTCCAATTCCCTTGACGCCATAGCAGCCATCCAATTTATGCTATCACAGATTCCTCCTCCCTTGTACAGTTTATGCTGTATTTGATTGAGGTTATTTATGTCATTTTACTCAAAAATTTAATTCCAATTTAGTCCAAGTGAAACGTTCCAGAATTTAGAGGAGTTACTGCCAAGAAATTTAGGTAGGGAATGCAGTGAAATTTTCCCTAAACACTTTTGCTAGATTGAACTTTTTTAATAAATCCGGCTTCATCGTTTTAGCAGTATATTGATAATAACTGAAGCCTTTCTGACTTTTTTTTTTTTTGGCACAAAAGCCTTTCTGGCTCAGTTTCTTCCAAAGCACGCATCTCAATCTTTATATATGATCATCAGTAAAGTAGAGCTGAACTTTACTTTGTCTTCTTCTTTACACCTTTATAACCTTACCGTACACTCCCATGGCTCAAGACTCTTTCTTTGATCTTCTCTACGAATTGTTCTTCTTGTTTTCTTTCTTCTTCACTTTTGTTGCCACTGAACTTCTCTGCGTTGAATACCCATCTTTCTCTGCTCTGTTTTTCCAACATGAACATGATCAACATGTCCCATTCACTGATGATCGTTATCCTCCGCGCTCGCAGTACCAGAAGTTCATCATTCCTCATGAAAACCTCCCATCGTCATCATCACCATCATCATCGTCATCTTCTTCTTCTTCTTGGCCAAACCAAGTAACAGAGCATGTGAAATCTTCAAATAGAGCAGTTGAATCCTTGCAAGTCATTTGTGAAATCTGCACAGAAATTAAACGAACTACCGAGATGATCAAGAGCCAAACATGCCACCATTCGTTTTGCTCTGATTGTGTGACAAAACATGTGGCCACAAAAATCCAAGACAGCATAACATCAGTTTCGTGTCCTGGTTTGGATTGTAAGAGTGTTTTTGAGATGGAAGCTTGTCGGCCATGGCTTCCCAAGGACTTGCTTGAAAGGTGGGATCAGGCTCTGTGTGAAGCTCTGTTTCTGCAACTCCCAACAATTTATTGCCCCTTTAAGGATTGTTCAGTTATGTTGCTGGTTGAGAATGAGGAAGATCAACAAGCTGCAAAGGAAACAGATTGCCCTGTTTGCCACAGATTGTTCTGTCCAAGATGTAATGTACCATGGCATCATGGAGTCGATTGTGAGGAATACCAGAAACTGAATGAGAATGAGAGAGGAAGTGAAGATTTGCTTGTGAGACAGCTTGCTAAAGAGAATCAATGGAGAAGGTGTCCTAAGTGTAAGTTCTATGTGGAGAAGACAACTGGATGCTTGCATATCACTTGCAGGTCAGTTTTCTTCTGCAAATCTACATGGAAGGGTTGTACTTTTGCCTGTTTTGGATTGATAAATTTGGATTTAAATTTTAATCCTATATTTGAATCTCATGCTTAAAATTTGCGCACTTATCTTTTTTTTTTTGTGGGGATAGTGTAAAAAATATCAAAGGATAAAGAGAGAGTTGGATATTGAAAGGAAAACAAAAAATTAAAAGTGACAAATTTATTTTTATTTTTTAATCAGTGAGTTATGAAAGAAGATGTAAGAGTGATAAAGGCACTAACAATAAAAAATGCAAAGAGAATGAAAGGGATAAAAGTGATTAAAATTTTAAATAATTAGGATGTAGTGAGAATTTAAAATTATAAAAGAATTATGATAAAAAAATTGATTTATAAAGTCATCAATTTTTATGAATTTAAATGAGAGATTTGATCTAAATTTAATATTTTTTTAAAAGGATTTTGAGCAAATAAGGAGTTAAATGTTGATGGATTAACTAAATGATTTATTTGTGATTGAAGGTGCAAATATGAGTTTTGTTATGCATGTGGAGAAGAATGGACAAACACTCATGGAGGCTGCCAAGGAAAGTAGATTATTTAATGCCAAGGTTTGATAAAGAGCATATCATTATCACTTGTCACTTTGTAATTTTGCGATGTTTGTTTGTATTGAAGACTTGACATTAACTTGTCCAGATTGAGATTGATATTGGCAAGAAAATTCCACAATCATTGTCTTTTAGCAAAGTATTTAGCAGTGTTTGGATTGATGAATTTTGATTTAAATTTTTAATTTAAAATACATAATCTTTATTTTGGTAGTAAGAAAACTTTATACTAACAAGAATGAGTTGTCTTAAAAACTTGTGTATTGGCTAAAGCAAATATATAATTAATAAACAAAGCAAAAATACAATCACAAATATACACTCTGGTTAGAGACTTCATGTGCTGTGCCATTTAAAACTCAAAAATTAGGTTGATTTTAACTGCCACAATAGATATTTGGTGTTTTTATCTTGTCTGATAATGAGAGAGCTTGTAGATTCACTTTTAATTATGAGAATATTATTAAAATATTTAAATATAAGTGAACTTAAATTGATAGGAAAAGTTGTACATGAATTATATAAAGTTCGGTTTAATAAATCGTGTATAGTGAAATATATATATATATATATATATAAAAGAACTCATAAATCTAAGTTTTAAAATGCTTGCAATTAAGACAAGGCATGCATTTTCATCGATAATGAAAAAAATGACGTTTTAATTTGACAAAAAAGAAAGGAAATTGGGTGATGGATCATTGATAACAGCTTTTTTATATTGGAATAGACATGTTACTATCATTTAGACATGACGGCTGTGAAACCATGGCAGATGAATCTCATATCAGACCATCTCAGTGTATAAAAACACCAAGCATCTACTGTCGTAGTTAGAGTGAACCTAAATTTTGAATTTTGAATGTTATATAGCACATAGAAGTCCCTAAAATAAATTAGAGTCATTTCTATTTTAAGCTCCACGCAATTATATGTATATATCTATGTGTATTTTTGCTTTGTTTATTAACTATATATATTTGTTTATTAATTATCATTATAATATTGACATATAAACGAACTAGGGAGTTAATTAATAAAAGAAGAGAATCAAGAGAAGAAAGATGTTATTTGAAATTAATGGACACGTCTTAAGAGTATATAGCAAGGTGAAATATAATTGATGAGGCTATCCCAAGCTGGCTGTGGTATGGAGCATTGGAAAGCTTAGTGGTAAGAAAATATAGCATAACTTTATTTGGAATTCTAGTCACGAACAACGGCGAATTCATGCCCTTGGTTGAAAGACCCTGTGTGAACCTAAGGAGCATGAAGGGTACGGCCTACGCAATATGGGAGTAATGAATGAAGCATTGCTTTGTAAATCTGTCTGGAGTATCATTGCTAATCCTGATACTCTTTGTGCTTCCCTTTTGAGAGGTAAATATAAGAGGAAAGCTGATTTATCAAAAGGTGCCACAGCTAAATCTGGTGATTCTGCATTCTGGAGGAACATAGTTGAGTAATGGCCAAAAGTTGTTAACTTACTTCAATGGGACATTCAAGATGGAAGTGAGGTTCTTTTTTGGAAAGACAAATGGCTAAGCAATAGAAGGGCCCTAATTAATTACTGCAAGCAGCAAATTCCTTCAGACTTGGTAAATATGATTGTCTCTGAAGCTGTGAATGATTTGGGGGAGTGGAATCTACCTATACTCTCTTAATTATCTTGATGAAAATAAGCTCAGGATGATTGTGGGTCACCACCCACCTCGACAGAATGAGGGACAAGATAAAACTGGGTGGGGTCCTGAAAGTAACAACGTTTTCTTGGTCTCCTCAATGTATGCAACCTTGAGAGAAGCCCTTAGCGGTAGTCCCGATCCTATCTGGAAGTTGATTTGGCATTGGAAAGGTCCTAAGAGAGTACAAATCTCCCTGTGGTTGGCTATGCACGAGAGGTTAATGACGGCATAAAAAAGAAACAAAAATTTTTGAAGCTTGTAGTAGCTCTGATATTTGTCATAACAATGTTGAAGACGTGCTACATGTAACTCATGACTGCACCATGGCAAGAGGAGTCTAGCGTGCATTTGTAGCTGCTGAAGAAATAAACCGATTCTATTCCCTTAATAAAAAGGATTGGTTCAACTGGAATTTGCAGAATGGAGGACATCACAATGGCATTAAATGGGATTTCCTCTTTGCAATTACAATCTGGTACCTTTGAAAAGCTAGAAATAATTGGATCTTTAACAGAGATAGTACTTCGTCAGAAGGGCTCAAAAGGAAAATCATTGATTTTGCCCAAGTGGTGTAGGTTAGCATACAAGATGATGCAAGACTGGGGGCGACTATTAGGCTTGCTCATGCTAGCTGGTAATCTCCACCTAATGGTTGGACCAAACTCAATATCAATGACGCTTCGAGGGCTAACCCAAGCGCCACTAGTTGTTGTGGTATTTTCCGTAACTCTAAAGGGAAGTAGATGGAGGATTTGAGGATTTGCCTGTGGCTTGGGAGTTTGCACAGCAAAAGAGGCTGAACCCTGGAGTTTCTACCATGGGATACTAGTGGCACAGTCACTAAAGCTCACAAGATTTATTGTAGAGAGTGACTCCATCACTGTTGTAAACGAGTTCCAAGCGGCCCTTAAAGACATTAAAGCAAAACACTGGCAAATACGCCAAGCAGTTTGCCTTATTCACGAGGATTGTATTGTTCAAGTTAGGCATGTCTTTTAGAGAAGAGAATATTAGTGCTAACTGGTTGGCTAAGTCAACCTTGTATAATTGTTACGAGAGTCGTATTCTTCTTGAACCCTTTAGAGGGCTCGGTGAGTGGTTGTATCGAGATTCTATGGGTCCTAATGGCCCTTTTTCCACCGTTAGTTAAATAAATGCTTGGGTTTTTGTCCCGTTGCTCACCAAAACAAAAACAAAAAGAAAAATACAAACACTCATATCCTTACCACTCATATCACATTGATATTTTTACGCCAAATATATATATATATATATATATCACATTGATATGGATCCATATAAGAAAGTTTTAATAATTTTTTTATGACTAATCTAGTCTATATTTAATTTGGAGGATTTAATTTAATATTATAATTTATATGTTTTTATATATTGATTATTCAATTGTATTTTGTATAGTTCAAATTTAAAATTTTAACTTGTAATTTTTAAAAAATTTACAGTTAAAAGATTATAAATTTTATTTTTTAATATTGTATTTATCAAAATAAAAAATTTAAATCTGGACCTTGTAGATGAAAATTTAATATTGAAACTAGGCAGTCTAAAGTACATGTAAATTGTCAATTTAAAAAATTATAATATTAAATTAGACCATTTAAATTAAGTTAATATTATCTAGACTGATGATGAACGTATTTATAAAAAATTATAAATTTTTATTTTAATAAATTTAAATTTAAAAAATTCTAGGCCATCTAGAATTACATCCAAATTAAAATATGGATGGCCCATTTTTTTTATTAGTGAGCACCCTGGTGCTTAGCAACGAAGAACCCCATTAATATGGTTCTCATCGATAAATATCACTTTGGATTGTAGCATTTGCAACAATCCAAATGAAATGTGTGAATCGTTGCGTGTCATCTATGAAATTTGTGCAGAAACTAAGGATATATTTGAATTTCAATTGGATAAAATTGATTAATAAGATTGATTTTTATCAAAATTAAAAAGTAAAATTGAAAAGTAGAAATGAAAATTAAATAAAATTATAATTTTGTAAAAATATATCCACACATTCATGTTACATGTTAAAATTAATTATGAATTCAAAACTATCTTTTTCAAAAAATATCTAAACATCCATTATACATGCCAAAATTAATTATGGACCCAAAATCATAGTTTTTTTTTTTTAAAAATACCCAGACACCTCATACATGCCAAAATTATAACATCTCAAATTTTAATCTCCTGATTAATTAAGCTTAATTATGATAATTAAATAAATTATAGTGGTGTGTGGCTAGAGAGATCTAATGACTGCCTTTAGGCTGTGTTTCAGCCCTAATTATGAGTTTGATGAAGAGTTGAGCCAATTGGGCCTCAAAAGGAGAAAAAAATAAAGAGGAAGTATTGATGTGCCACACACCACAGCATGAATCACGTTTGCTACAGTGCATAAATAGATATTGAAGCGAGAGGAGACCTTTTTGTGCCATGCACCAAAGGCAGGATTGTGCATTCGTTGTGGTGTATGGTCATTTTTTACAAATTAAGAGTTGCGATTTGAGATTGAAACAAAAAGAAGAGAAAGGATAAAACGAAGAGGACGAGTTATGCTCTGCTAAGGTTCATCCTTGGAGAATATTTGGGACACTTTGAAGCTACTAAACACTTAAGGTAAGTATCCTAAACCTTATTCATCCCATTTTCTTCCATATTTATGAGTAGATGGTTAGGGTTTGATAGTGGTAGATGAGTTTTCAATACATATAAGTTATAGATCTGAATATATTTACTCAAATAAAGTTAATATGAGTAGATTAGAGTATCTAAACCTAAATATATTGAGTTTTGGCATTTTTGGTGGTTAAGCCTCATTATTATGCAAAAATGACGTAAATGAGGGTTGTTAAAAGAATGCAATGCCATTAATGAGAATTTAATAGCTCATTAATGTTATTGAAGACTAAAGAAAATTAATAAACTCAATGGGTAGGGCCAAACTTATATAAAATAGACATTGGGTAATCTAGAAGTAGAAGATGAGAGTTGAATGTGTGTGTTTGGCAATGTTGATAAGTTAAAGAATTGATGATTGTAGATTAAGTTCTTAGACACTATTTTGGCTTGAGAATTCAAGCTTGGAAGTTATACTATTAAGGGGTAAACCTTTGACCTCTCAAATGTTTGAATTAACTTAGGGAACCTTACTTTGGGTAATTGTTTGTTAATTGTAATATGAGGTGAATTATGTATTTAACATGCAAATTGTGACTTGTGAATGATGAAACATGCAATGAAACTTAGTGTTTACATAATTGCTTTGATATGTATTAAACATGCGAAAAATGATTGTAAAATAATTTACTTTTTTATAATGTGGTTTGGATGGGTAATTGATAATGTGATTGATAAGATGAATATATGAGATTGAAAATGATGAGTTTTATGTGATGTAAGTGAAAATAAGAATTAATGCTCATTTGAGTAGCGCATGGTTGTGAGCCCAACATGTCGATTTTAAAATTGAATAATTGAGATTGTAAAAATTGAGTAAGCATCATTTTTGGCATGATTAGTAGGCGAGAGTTCGCAAAGGGATTGGGAGCAGAGGAAAATTCATATGCTACTTAAGCTGCCCTCCAGTGCACAAGGTATAGCCTTGTCTTGTAGTTTGTCGAAGAACTGTCCCACAGTTTGTTGAGGAACTAGAACTTAGCTTTTTTCACTAATTTATCGAGGATAATAGCCTAGGGTATACAATACTCCAAAGATTTGATAGTGGGAGAGGATGTGGTCCAAAAGTAAATTATGTAATTTTTAGTTGGGTCACACCTCATGATTAGTGAGCTTGGATAATTTAGTCACAAGGATAAAGCATATTTAGTGTTATAGCTCATGGTTTTAGTTGGAGGAAATAAGAAGGATATAAAGTTGGTTGATCATTACCTATGAAATTATATGACTTGTCACATGATTGTGATGTGGCAAGTCGTGTGTATATTGGGTCATTATCACATATCTAAGTGTCTTATGACAATGTACCTAGTGTATATGAGATAGAAATGAGTTAAATGTAAAATGATAAGTTATGATATGTGTACAAGCATGTTTTAATAACTTGATTTTATATACATGTGTTTGATTACAAATAATATATAACTACATAGGGTAAGTTTTACCTTGATTACTAAGTGACTAGACTTACTCCTTTTCTTTAATATTTTACAGGCTTTAACTCTGGTACCAAGAGGGACAAAGCTACTAAGGCCTAAGAATTTGTGTATTTCTCTTGTATGCCTCTTGTATTTGTTTATTCTGTGCAATAAACTATTATTTCCAATTCTAGGTTGCATTTTGTTCATACTTGCACTATAGGTCGTTTCAATGGTTTGAATTGTATTTTGGGCCTTGCGTAGTTGTATACAATGAGTTATATATGTTGATAAAGTCAAAATACTAATGCAAGTGTAGAAATGATGTTTCAAACATGTTATGATTGATTTTGAAGCAATGCAAGTCAATTTTCCTCCTCTTTCTATTTTTAGTATAAAAGGGTTGATGAGTAATTTTGTGTTATATTGATAATTGAGTGTGAATGATGTGTTGTATTGATAGTCCTAGATCTAATAGATATGGTCTGGGTATTAGAAACAGTTTTTGGCACTTGTTTTAAGTTTTAAACACCCTTTGTTGTGAAAAGTTATGAAAAGTGATAAAAATGGGTTTCGGTGTCCAATTCTCTAGTGTGACTTATTTTGAAGTAGAACCTGTCATTAACTAGTTTATGAAAAGAGCTTTTTGTAAATACTTAATCATGTCATTCAGGCGTCGGACAAAAGATTAAGGCCCGTTGGAAGTTCCCCAATTTTGCTGTTAAATGATAGTAGAATCAGTTGTCAAGAAAACATTCAACACATTGCAGTGTGTGACACAGGGAGGAACACACCGCGGCATGGCGTATACAAGCCGCAACACATTGCCCTGTTGTATAGCAATTAAATTATTTTTTAACTATTTTCAATTTCTTTCACTCCTCTAAAGTATCTCATGCTTTCATAACTTGTTTTTATTTTGAATGATGGGTCAATGAATTATTTGGACATATTTTAACTTAAGAAAACTTGAGATCCTTTATTTCAAAACTAAACTTGGTAATCTCCTAAATAAGTTAATCTTTTGATTATCATGAGTTTGAAGGGTTAATTCTGATTAGTAGACAAGGTTATTTCAAAAATTAATTATAAATTCAAAACCACGATTATCTTATAAGCTACTGTTACCTTCTTTTCAATTATGTTGATCTAAAAATTTATCTAAAAAATATTACAAGCTATTTTAAAAATCATGTTTTTAGGTTTATAATTGATTTTGAAATTTATAGAGGTGTCTGGATATTTTTAACAAAACTATGATTTCATGTTCATAATTGATTTTGCCAAATATAATAGTGTTTGGATAATTTTAGAAAAATTTAATTTTGAATTCATAATTAATTTTCACATGTAACAAAAGTGTTTGGATATATTTTTACAAAATTTTAGTTTTAGCCTTTAGAATTGATTATGGATAAAATCCAAATAGTTACAAACTAGTATTAATTTAGAAAAAGTGAAATAGAGACCTAATTGCCATTCTCTCTTATAAAAGTGAAATAGAGAAGCTTCAGAAAAATTCAAGACTTTTACAATCCAATCCTTATAACTTCATATTTTTATTTATTTAAAATCTTAGTCCCTATACTTTAAAAAATAAAATTATAAATAAAAATTTATTGTTAAAGTTTAGGGAATAATATTTTAAATACATAGTTAAAAATATATGGATTGAATTGTAAGGTGGACTAAGTTATAATTAAATTAAATTATGGATGTTAAATTGTACTAAGTTAAAATTTAAAAATTAAATTATAATCTAATAAAATATAAAAAAATGAATGATTATTTTTCTGATACCTTTAAAAAAGAATTGTACTGATATAAAAAACAAAATGATTATTTTTTTTGATACCTTTAGGAAAGAATTGTACTAAGTGGATTAAAGAATGGACACCCCCATTGATTCTGGTCGGCAGGTCAAACCTTGATGCGGAAGTTGCTTCCCGCATTCACACTTCCAAAACAACACCGCAATTATATTATAATAAAATTATGTATAAAATATTTAAATTTTAATTATAATTTAAATTTATAATTAAAATTTTTACTTATAGCTTCATGAATTACTATTTATAATTTATTTTTAAACATTTTTATCAATAACTTAATTGGCATAATTTCTTTTTTTTCTTTTAACTTTACTATCATTTTCCTTATAAAAAAAGCCATGCTTTCTATTAAAAGAAAAATTCAATAAAAACACATAATTCAAACAATATATATACACTAGTAAAGTGCATTAGCATAATGAACCTTAGTTTTAAATATATGAAAAGTCAAAAATTTTAAACTTTGACTTATGAATATTTGAATTTTAAGTTGTAAATTTATTAAGTTGGCCAAAACAAACAAATCAACTCTAAACAAGAATTTTATTTTCAATGGACAATTACTTATTAATATATAATCATAAAGTTATAAATTTGTAAATATATAGTTGTAAAAATCAAAATTTATATTTGCTGTCTTTTCTCACTAAGGGCAATTGTATCATTTTTTTTTAAACATGTTTGCAAAAAAGACCTCAGGCTGCAGAATAATTTCAAATTGCATTGGCCCCTTAAATGTAATTCTTTTTCCCTTAGGGAGTCTAGATGAGATTCTCCCTTTTTTATAGACATATATAATATGAAAAAATTAGTAAACTTATTATTATTTTTTGAAATAAAGTAAATATATATATATATTAAATAAAAGGATCAATGAGCATTTTATATCCTAAAACTATTATGAAAATAGCTTATTGAATTCTAAACTTTTGAAATATGCAAAAACTCTCTTTTATGTTTAAATTCTAAGTACTTTAAATCTTGCCATTAAGTTGAAAAAAATTGTCATTATTTTTTAAAGTCAAAATGAGTGCTATATCAACTTGAAATTGAGTTGCCGTTTTCTCCTATTCAATGGCAGGGGCACTCAAAATTTAGAAATTAAAGAAATTTTTACATATTTCAAAATTCAGGATCTAAGATGCTATTAGCGTAATATTTTAAGATTTAAAATGCTCATTAATCTTAAATAAAATAAAATGATTACACACCAAACAAAAGTAAGGTCTCGTTTAGTTATTGAAAAGAAATAAAATGGAATGTATTGAAGAATGAGATAATAAAAAAGGATAGTGAATGGCATTTATGAGAGAGAAGGATAATTTAGTTTGTAAATTGAAAATCATGATTCATAATATTTTTAAAAGGTATAATAATTCTTACATTTATAGTATATGTTAATGAATTTTATCATATTTAGTTCAGTTTTAACATATCAAATGGTGATTTAGTTTATTTTTTTTATTGATTTTCTTGATCCATTTCATGCCATTCATTTATAGTAATCAAACGAGACCTAAGTTTTGATTTGTAAATGTGGTTCAAGTAAGTTTTTAGATTTTTTTTAGTTTTTAGATTTTCTTTTCATTGGGTTGTTTAAAAAAAAATCTAAAATGACTAATAAATAAGATACATCATAGTATAGATTGATTCAATTAGTTATTAATAGCATGTCAACAAATTTTAATTAAATTAAATTTGTATAGATATTATTTATATACTATGAAAAATGTTTTATTTTATTTAATATACTCTTTAGTCGAATAAATATATCATTAAAGAGCATTTTGCTTGGCTCACATTTTCTTATTCTGGAAAAAGGACCATCATTCTTAAACACTTTTACTGGATCAAACTTTTTGAGGAATCCGGATTCACCGTTTTAATAGGATACTCTGCTGTGCCTTGTCTACCGCCTTCCGATGCTCCAAATCTTAGCCTTCCATTTGATCCAACGGCAAGAGACATTTCACCGATTAACATGACGTCGTTGGAATGGAGAAAATCTTGACCGCTTATTAACAAAATAAATCCTAGTCGTTGGTTTCTTTTAATTACAAATCTATCTTCCTCCCGGTTCTCACACTGATGGAGCTCAGTCGTGTGTCCTTTCTTTCCGGGTTCCTTTCAGCCATGGAGTTTCTTTTTCCCAAATCCATCTTCCTCCCCAGTTTTCCAACTTCCAGCCGAGCAGGAGATTGGCGTTCTTCTTCTTATTAGTGGGATTGAGACCGTTGTTTGAAACAACAATTTCCGTCACGGATGCGACGGGGAAAATGTTGAAGCGGCAGAAATTGTTCTGCTTTTCAGGTTTAGATTTAGGGCTTAATTTGCTTCTTCGCCATTGAAGGTGCTGGAGGTAAGCGTTTGGTTTTTATTTGTTGATGAGGTCTGTTTCTGCATGTGCGTTTGGGGTTGCTTTGTCTATATATATATATATATATATATTTATTTATATAGCAATTGGCGTGAATTTGCTTGATCGTCTTTGAATTCATCAAGCTCCTCTACTCTTCTGGTCTTTTTTCTTTTTAGTCTCAATTCCTTACGGCACCTTTGCATTAGTGCAGTGGATACTGGAGCTTCTTAATTCATCTTTTGTGATTTGTCATTTTCAGTAAAGAGAATCTGTTAAATTGAAACATGGACCAAATCAGAGATGCATCATCATCATCATTATTGTTAAAAAAAACAGAGATGCATTATTTATATCTTTTGCCTGGTCAGGGGTGCGAATGTTTTCTGCCACCATAACGAGGAAGACGGTGGGCTTAAGCTGAAAATGCTGAATGGTTAGGATTGGGGGTAAGAATGTACGGACAGGATATACTATAATAAAACGGCGTAGTTTTGATTAATGAATTGTCTCTTGTCATCAGATGAAGTGGACTGATAGGGTAAGGACCATCAAGAGGGGGCAGCACCAAGAGCAAATTAGGCACCCCTCCTTCTTGGCTTTGTTGCTTCGAAAGCACGCATTTCTACCTCTATATACAATCAGTAAAGTAGGGCTGAACACTACGTTGTCTTCTTCACTCCTTTATGACCTTACTGTACACTCCATGGCCCAAGATTCTTTCTCCGATCTTCTCTACGAATTGTTCTTCTTGTCTTCTTTCTTCTCTTTTGTTGCCACTGAACTTCTCTGCGTTGAATACCCATCTTTCTCTGCTCTGTTTTTCCAACATGAACATGATCAACATGTCCCATTGACTGATGATCATTGTCATCCACGCTCGCAGTTTCGGAAGTTCATCATCCGGCATGAAAACCTTCCCTCGTCACCGTCACCGTCACCGTCACCATCACCATCGTCATCGTCATCGTCATCGTCATCGTCATCGTCATCATCTTCTTCTTCTTGGCCTAATCAAGTAACAGAACATGTGAGATCTTCTAACAGAACAGTTGAATCCTTGCAAGTCATATGTGAAATCTGCGCAGAAATTAAACGAACAACCCAGATGATCAGGAGCCCAACATGCCACCATTCGTTCTGCTCTGATTGTGTAACAAAACATGTGGCCACAAAAATCCAAGACAGCATAACAGCAGTTTCGTGTCCTGGTTTGGATTGTAAGAGTGTTTTTGAGATGGAAGCTTGTCGGCCATGGCTTCCCAAGGACTTGCTTGAAAGGTGGGATCAGGCTCTGTGTGAAGCTCTGTTTCTGCAACTCCCAACAATTTATTGCCCCTTTAAGGATTGTTCAGTTATGTTGCTGGTTGAGAATGAGGAAGATCAACAAGCTGCAAGGGAAACAGAGTGCCCTGTTTGCCACAGATTGTTCTGTCCAAGATGTAATGTACCATGGCATCATGGAGTCGATTGTGAGGAATACCAGAAACTGAATGAGAATGAGAGAGGAAGTGAAGATTTGCTTGTGAGACAGCTTGCTAAAGAGAAGAAATGGAGGAGATGTCCTAAGTGTAAGTTCTATGTGGAGAAGACAACTGGATGCTTGCATATCACTTGCAGGTCAGTTTTCTTCTACAAATTTATATGGAAGGGTTGTACTTTTAGGTGTCTGTTTGGATTGATGAATTTGGATTTAAATTTTAATCTTATATTGAATCTCATGTGATGTTTAAGATTTGTATATTTAAAATTTTTTATTTGGACAGTGTAAAAAAATATCAAAGGATGAGAAGACAGAGAGAGAGAGAGAGAGTTGAAATTCAAAGCAAAAACATAAAATTGGAGATGATAACTATCGGTGAGAGATGAGAGAAGATGTGAGAGTGTTAGGGACACCAACAATAAAAAATGTAAAAAGAATGAAATGACTGAAATTTCAAATGAATAGAATGTTGATGAAATTTTATTTTAAATTGCAAAGGAATTATGATAGAAAATTGATTTTTAAATTCATAGATTTTCATATATCTAATTGAAAGATTTGGTCCAAATCTAAATCTAAATTTCTGTTAGTCCAAACACAGCATTAGGTCATATCTCAACTTTGTTTTTAAGCAATCATGCTTTCAATATCTGTTTCTGAAAGGATTTTGATTGAGGAAAGAGTCAAATGTTCATGGTTTAATTAAATGATTTATTTGTTATTGAAGGTGCAAATATCAGTTTTGTTATGCATGTGGAGAAGAATGGACAACTCATCGAGCCTGCCAAGGAAATTAGATTATTTAATGCCAAGGTTTGATGAAGAGCATATAATCATCAGTTATCGCTCTGTAATTTTTGATATGTTTGTTTGTGTAGAAGACTTGACATTAACTTGTCCAGATTGAGGTTGATCTCGGCAAGAAAATTTCACAAGCGCGATCTTGTAATAAATATTTAGACCGTGCCTGGATAGAAGGATTTTAATTTGAATTTTAGATTTAAAATCTCATATTTAAAATACATATCATTTATTTGGGTAGTATAAAAAACACTTATAAGAATGAGTTGTCCTACTTACAAGACTTGTTCACATGTTTGGATAACATTGAAAGAGGATGGTTAAGATTTGAAATAATTAGGGTAGATTAGGTGTTTAAAATTTTAAAGGAATTGTAAAAAAATTTTGCTGGGATTTATATAAAATCCAAATGCATACAATTTTATGTATCTAAAAAGTAGATTTGGTCAAAATTCAAATCTCATTGATCCAAACATAAGATAAGGACATAAGGTATTATTTATTGATGGATGATAGTTTCTGTTTTCACTGCTTTTCTTTGTAGCCTAGGGGGCTTTCTAAAACGTGCATTGAAATGTCTGTTCAAACACAAGATCATATCAGTTTTGAAATTACTTGACAATTAAAATTCATGTGTAACCAATAAAGGTTAGTTCCATTAGCAAGGATTTGACTTATAATTTAAAAATTTGTGCATGTAAATCCCACTGTTAATGTGATGATCTTGTTGGTATATGGTGTGAGAATATCTTTGTAAATACTTTTTGAGTCTAGGGGCATACCCTTGTCTTCACAAGTCTTCATGACTTGATTCAACTAACTTTCTCTCTCTCTCTCTCTCTCTCTCTCTCTATATATATATATATATAATATCATGTGTAGGCAATGGAGTTTCACTGCATGACTGTAGAATCTGTTTAGCAAATTATATGTTAATAGAGTAAGCACGATCAATCTGTGCATATCTTGTGGATAATAAGAGATTAGAAAGTTTCCATTTATTAAATTGTGAAATTCTGACAGGGCATCAATGGTAGTCTCTATCTATTGAGGCCTCATTTGGTGTATAATGGATGATCCATTTCCTCATTCGAGATAATGAACAATCCTTAAGGGATCCCATGTTTTTGGATTAGTGTAAATCGCCTTAAATTCAAAAGAAAAGGTGTCCCTGTTTCTTTGTTTTTTTTTTTCAATGCCAATTAATTAATAGGGATTGGATTTAGTAAAAAAAAGCACTACCTTACAACATTAGCTAACTAATGTTTGAATTTCCTCTAGATGGTACTCGCAATCAGTGCTCAATTGTCGCTCAAACATAATTGCTTTCAATAACAAGACATTTATATGCAATTAAAAAAAAAACTTATACACTTAAAATTATATGAATATGCGACATTAATTAAATTTTCAATAGAAGTTATCCTTTCAAAGAAGTACTTGCAAACTATCGACTGGATTAGTTTGACTGTTTGAGTTAAAGATTTAGGATATTTGACTGAAAAGGAAGGGAGAAAAAAAAAAAAAAACGGCAAGTCATGGTGTGTTCAGAAGTAAATGCAAACTTATGTTTACCCAAAAAAAAAAAAACTTATGTGTTTATAATTTACATACCTCAATCCCAGGTCTGATGTATAAACTACAAAGCTGAGATTGAGTTGTAAACTCGTGGATTTAGGCCCAAACAATTTGTGGATCGGAATTCAGAAAAATTGGAGAGGTGGGGCCGAAAGTCAAAAAATAATTAAATTTTCAACTTAAAGCCCGAGGCCTGAACAAATATTTAAATTTGCGAAAAAAACATAATTGAAAAAGTACAGTGTATTTGCATTTATCATGAACAAATAAGATATTAATAGATGATAATTAAATAGTTGAACTATGATTTTGATTTTATATAGTAGATTAATTTATATAACTTTATTATGAATATTATAATGTTTCATGAATTCTCATTATCTCATCTTATCTTTTAATATCTCAATTATCTCATAATATCTCCTATCATCATCTAGATAGTAAATTTTGATTAGATTAGAGTTGTAAACTTATGTACAGAGAAAAAACTTATATACTTAATCTTCTATATTTAATGTGCTTGATTCCAATTGAATTAAGACATACTAATTTTTTATAGATTATTTATTTATAATAAATTATTGTTATTAATTTTATTAACATATTAAGATTCACTTATCCTGATTCAATTGTATATAAATATAATAAGTATACAAGTTTTATCCTAAAAATATTTAGGCTTTCATTGTGATGAGGGAAATTTAAGAAACTCTTTTATTCTATCCAACTAACTTCCTCTAATCCTCCTTATATTATTTTATGTTTCTTTGTTTTATGGGTTCGATTATTTATAACATACTTAATATCAACATTAATATTTTTTAAAAAAATTAATCATTTAATTTTTATAATTTTAATTCAATTAAAATTCAGTATCTAAACTTTCATTTGATATAACTCAATATCTATAGTTTTAATTCAATTAAAACTTTTTCAATCCAATCCTTATAATTATATACTTTTATCCATTTAAAATGTTAGTCCTTATATTTTAAAAAATAAAATTATAAATAATAAAGTTATTATTAAAACTTAGAGAATCATGTTTTAAATACACAATTAAAAGTATATGGATTGAATTACATGTTAGAGGCTGAGTATAATTGAATTAAATTATAGAGATTGAATTGTAAGGAGTTAGAATTTAAAAATTAAAGGTTAAAAATATGCATTTAGTCTTTTACCTTTATACAATATTTCATTTTAATTCCTTAATTTTATAAAGTGTTCTTTTAATCTTAAAATTCTAATATCGTTAATTTCATCTCAACAAATTTTCACATGAACTTTTATTGACAACATTCTCTAATGTTAATATCTTAAGTTTAATTTTTTTAAAAATTACAATGATTAATACAAAAATAATCATTTAAAATTAATAGTTTTAGGGTTAAATGACTAAAAAAATATTTTATAAAATTAAGTGACTACATTAAAACTTTATATAAAGTTAGAGGGTTAAAAGTATATTTTTAAAAAAATTAAATTTTTATCATAAAAATATAAAAAAAAAAGGCTAAACGATTATTTTTTCTTATACTTTTAAAAAAGAATTGTACTGAGTGAACTAAAAAATTGACCCCACTTTCAATTTTAGATAGCTAGTGGAACCTTGTTGATCAAGTTGCTTCCCACTTTCACATTTCCAAAGCAACGCGTCAATTGTATTATAATAAAATTGTAAATAAAGTATTTGAATTTTAATTATAATTTAGAGTTATAATTAAAATTCTTATTTATAACTGTATAAATTAATATATATAATTTATTTTTTTAAAAAATTCTATCAAGAATCTAATTGGCATAAATTCTTTTTTCTTTAAACTTCAATATCATTTTCCTTATAAAAAATCTATGTTTCTTATTAAAAGAAAAATTCAAACTTTTATAAAACCGCATAATCCGAAAACAAAACACCTGTAATGTGCATTTAAAAAAAAATGTCCTTTTAAAACATGATCAGTAAATAAGAGATGAATATATATTAGATAATTAAATAGTTGATTGATGATTTTCATATGATATATTAATTAATATTCTTTTATTATGAATATTATAATATCATGTTATTACCTTATTGTATCTTTTAATATCTCAAATATCTCACAATATCTTCTATTATCATTAAATTTATAGATTTTGGTTAGACCGAAATTGTAAACCTATGCATAGAAAATATCTCAGCTATGTTGTGAGTATTTGGCCAACAGCTGTATTGTGAGTTGTGACAAGAAAAATATAATAAAGTTATCTTATTCTCTTTTTCTAACTTCTCCTGTCTGTTCATATTATTATATCTTTTTTTTTATGGTTTCGAATGTTTATAATATACTCAATATCAATATCAATACTTTAGAAAAAGAATTGAACTGAGTGGATAAAAAAAAATGGCCCCAGAAGGACTTTAGATAGATAAAGAGTCAAACCTTGTTGCCGAAGGTACTTCCGAAGCAACGCAACCCTTCGTTTATTAACTCACAAAACATTAAAACGAACGCATCCAAAGTAAAGCTGAATCGCTTGGCCTTTTCGCACCATCCATCACTAAAAAATATGGCTCAAGACTCTGCCTCTGATCTTCTCTGCTTGGATGATTCTCTCCTCTCAGCTCTGTTTCACGAGGATGAAGACGAGGATCACGCCCCTTTTACCGATGATAAATTAGCCCAACGCTTGCAGTTTCAGGAAACCCTCTACTCCTCCTTGATCACTTCCCAAAACCCACAAAATAATCCGTCGTCGTCGTCATCTTCTTCTTCTTCTTTGCTCATTTTACCTTTATCTGCATCATCGTCTTCTCCTTTGAAAATGGCTGACACTTGCCCTACCCCACAAGTCGAGCAAGTGAAATCCTCAAATGAAGCGTGTGAATCGTCGCAAGTCATCTGTGAGATCTGTGCAGAAACTAAAGAGACTTCCCAGATGTTCAGAAATCAGAGATGCCACCACTCGTTTTGCTCTGATTGTGTTACAAAACAAGTGGCCACAAAAATTCAGGACAACATAGCAGTAGTTTCGTGTCCTGGTTTGGATTGTAAAAGTGATCTTGAGCTTGATGCTTGTCGGCCATGGCTTCCCAAGGACTTGCTTGACAGGTGGGATCAGGCTTTGTGTGAAGGTCTGTTTCTGGCAGCCCCTAAATATTACTGTCCCTTTAAGGATTGTTCAGCTATGTTGCTAATTGAGAATGGGGAAGAAGATCAACAAGCTATAAGGGAAGCGGAGTGCCCTGTTTGCCACAGACTGTTCTGTGCAAGATGTAATGTGGCATGGCATCCTGGAGTTGAATGTGAGGAATTTCAGAATATGAATGAGAATGAGAGAGTTAGGGAAGATCTGATTGTGAGAGAGATTGCTAAAGAGAAGAAATGGAGAAGGTGTCCCCAGTGTAGGTTCTTTGTGGAAAAGATTGATGGATGCGTGCACATCACTTGCAGGTCATTTTCTTAGCTTGCTGCTACTTTATTGAAACAATCACACTTTACCTATTTGTATATGAGAAGTTCTTGCCTCTGGCTTTGTAATTTTGATTTACAGATAACTAACAAGTAAGCAGTAACATGATCAGAATGTGTTTGTCTCCTTTTACTTAATATGAATGTGCTGGTGAATAGAATTTGATTTTGCAGGTGCCACTATGAGTTTTGCTATGCGTGTGGAGAACAATGGACTTCTTCTCACGGAGGCTGCCAAACAAATTAGATTATTTAATGTCATGTTTCGTGACGAGCATATCTCCTTATCATTTAATGTCTTGTTTGTATTGCAGCTAAGAAAATGATAGACTTGATAGGTTGATCTTTGCAAGACATCTGTTCTAAAGTTACTTGAGAATTTTGAGGTTCGTGCCTGTAGGCAATAGTGTTTTTCACTAGATGACTATAGGATTTGTCTAGAGCTTTGAAGAACAAGGGACACTGGGACTGTATGTTCAACTTCAAAATGTGTTTACGTTTTCCAAATCACTTGTGCGCCTTTTTTTTTTTTTTTTGATAATATCACTTGTGTGCTTTTGCTTATAAGAATATGAAACTACATGATATACAGACATTGATGTTCTTAGTTTCCTGATGCAGAAACAGAAGCAACTTACCAGTAATCAGTTCCAACGCTTGTTTTTGAATCATATTGCCTTACACTTTCTCCACCTCCAAAATCTATAATACCAGGCATAATTCTGTACAAATCAATTATCAGAATGGGGTTATGGGACTTTCTTAAATAGATTAATATAGTTAGAAAGTCAAAAATTTATGAGTACAAGTCCGAAAAATCAAATTAGTAGAACTTTTTTTGGGTAGGTGATCTTGTTTTCGGCTCAGCTTAATTTCTATCCAACACAATACAATCATGAAATCAGTTTTTTAATTCAAATTGAGCCGTTAATAGCTCTAATCCAATGGGTTTAATTATCCGGTTTTTAAAACAATATTTGTTGGTACAGTTGGATAAAAAGCTCTCGAGAGAGAAGCATTTTTTTCCCCCACAATTTAATCGTCAGGAACTAGTCTCAAAAAAATTGAAACGTACTCTAAATTTCAGTTATATCCTTAACCTATGTTATTGGGCAAATACCTAAATAGACGAGATGGTTGAAACAACAAAATCGCGTGTGATGTATGTCATTTTGTGGCGGGCAACTGTCTAAACCAACTGTGGACAATCACTGAGAGAGCTAAGCTAAGCATCATCAAAAGCAATCCTTCAATGGCTTCTTCAATATGTTGCTCTGCCTCTCAATTCTCAAAGTTCTCACCTTCATCGCTTCTCAAGGCCTCATACCCTGCTTTCCCCAATTTCTCTTCATCCCCATTTTCTGTCCGTTGCGCTAATCAGAGTGACGGAGACGAGGTCAAGAAGACAAAGAGGCTCTCTAATCAGTCTTCGTGGGAAGCTAAAGACGCCGAAGGCAGAGACTATCTCTACAGGCTGGGCAAAGAAGCTGATAATATGAACATCGCTGTTGGCCAGAGGGCCGGCGTCATCGATGACCTTTTTGCTGGCAATTTTCTCGGGAAAGATTGTAATAGCTTTCTTAGATTTACTTCGTATAGTTTTTTTACTTCCATTGCTTTCATCGCTCGTAATTTTATTCGTCCTTTTTCTTGCAGCGGACATTGTGTTTGATTATCGTCAGAAATTGACGAGGTCATTTGAATACCTTCAAGGTGATTATTACATCGCTCCCGTCTTCATGGTAAGGAAATAATCTTTTAAAAACTGTTCATTTCTCGCTTGCAAATTGGACAAAAAAGGGTCTTATCAGAAACTGTTTGATATAATTTTAGTTTACGGAGGTCAATGCTCCATGACAATGTGGGATAGAGTTGTAACTTTTGGATAAGTAGAGAGATGGTGTGAGACTTGTTGGCCCCATTAAACGACATTTTGGTCTGCGTAGATATCATACTTATCTTGTTTAAAAAGACTTTCATGCGTTGCATTCCTTTGGAGACAGCATAGTCTTTGGAGAACTGATCTGGTTTCCATAGTCTTTCTTGCATCACATGAGCATCATTTTATGGCTCCTTATAGCTTTGGTTGGTTTCATGGTCATTTTCTGAGAGCAAAGGAAAAGGAGAGGATTAAACGACAGTATTTGTTTCATTTGGGTGACTGCAGCCTGGGGTGATATGAACATTATTCCTTATGTTTTCTTAAAGTTCTTAATCCATTTTAACCATGTAAACTTATTCTGCATATTCTTTCTTTCTTTCTTTACACTTTAATTTTTCAAGTTGTTTTAACTCTTTTGACAGGACAAAGTTGGTAAGTTCTCTGGAAAATGGGCTAATGTGAAGAAATTGTGATGAATCAATTTCAAGACGTAACAGGGCTTGGTAAAATTGATTTATTTTGCCATGTTATAGAAGTGGTTGTAATGTTAGTCAAATTCTTGCTCTAAATGCTGTGTTTATCAATTATAACTCACATGCTTGCTTGCTAATGGTTATATTAAGTCTAAAGGTAACTAATGCAGTTGCAATTATTTAAATCTGCTGTGAAAACTTGTATAAGTGGTTAATTTTGTATCTGCTTGATTCATGTCACTGTGATGATTTTTCTGAGATGGCCTCTGCCTTTTAATGTTAAATTTTGATATGTTACTAATAGCTGCATGTTCTTGTAAATGTTTTCTGTGAATGCAGTTTGCCACATTGTGAAGAACTACCTTGCTCATCTCCTCAACACTAAAGTTCCCTTGATCCTAGGTATAAACTAACAACAAATTAATCCTTTAAGCTTATGTTAAACCCTGAAGAAAGAAAAAGCATTGAAATTAGGTATTAGTGTGCGCGCGTGCGCGCGTGTGTGGTTGTAAGGTTCTGTGATGCCTGCTATAGTTGTAAAATGTTTATCTTTCTAATAGACAGGGCTGTTGATAATCTCTACCCTGATCATTTTGGTCTAATATCAATACAAATTTAATAATGAAATGTAAACTGTGATAGAGTTTTAAGATAATAGGTGATTTGGGAAGATAGATATTACAAATAAATATTATTTTTAATTTATTTTAGATATTTTCTATTTAATAATATTGTTTAGATTTTATTTAGGTATTTAGTTATCTAGATTTTATATAGATATTTAGATATTTATTTAAATATCTATATATTTATCTAGATATCTAGTTATTTAGATTTTATTCACATATTTAGTTCTTTAGATTTTATTTAATATTTTATATAGATATAGATTCTAGGAGATTTTATTCAATTTTATTTAATTATCTAGTTATTTAGATTTTATTTATTATTTTAGATTGTATTTAGCATTATAAATATGCTTAGCAATTTAGAAACAAGCATATCATGAGTAAAACAAACTTTTGAAACTTTTGGCCCTTTGAAGATTCTCCCAAGCGTGGATATGGAGAGAAGTATAGACTGAAATTCTTGTTTGATATCATCTTGATAGATTTATTTCTTCTGCTTTCTTCTATCAGTTCTATGTTCTCTTATTAATATTATGAAGTTAGATTCTGATTTCATATGTTAACAAAGATTTATCTTCCTTATTTCTCTCTACCCATCTAGGATCCTATCATTTGGCATCAAAGCCATTCGATCCAAAGATGGTACCTACCTATTCCACACGCCTTTGTCATAAGCACATTTTCACCGCCCATCCCATCCTATTATCATCCATCTTCTAGAACACATTTTCCCAAGTATAATGGTGGAGATCCATAACCATGGATTTTAGAAGTGGAAAATTATTTTCAATAGTATCACACTTCTGAAGACTTCAAAGTTGATATTGCATTGAGGCATTTAGAGGGAGACGCTCTTGTGATTTCTTCACTTCTATTAACATGGAATGCTCTATTGGAAAGAATTAATAGAGGTGTTACTAGAAAATTATGGGCCTCTAGAATATCAGAACCCAGATGAGTCCTTATGTAGCATCAAGCAAATTGGTTCTATGCAGGAGTATCGTTTGGAATTTGCTAGGCACTTTGCTCATGTGAAGAATTGGCCGGAACATTGCCTCTTGGAAGTCTTCATCAAAGGCCTCAAGGAGAAGCTCAAATATGATGTTCGGATTTGTAAACCTAAGACAGTTTATTGGGCTGTTAGTTTGGCCCTTGATTATGAGTTAAAAGCCCAAAACTCTTGCGGGCTCGAAACTGCGCAGCAGAACCAAACTAAGCCCTTGTTTCCTTCAGTCCCTTATCAAACAGCATGTGACTTAAAAGAGACATCAGCATCGACTTCAAACTCCCTTCAGCCAGAAACTTCAACCTTGTTTCCTCACAAGCCAGCATCTAGAATGGCTTCTATGGAAGCCAAACAGGAGTGACAACAAGAGATGGGACTGTGTTTCAGCTGTGGTGAGACTATCAAACCGGGGCATTACTGTAAGGGATCTTTTTCACTGCTGGAAGTTACAGAGGAGGGTGAAGAAATTGTTCCTTCCCTTGAAGAGGACAAAACCATAGAGAGGAAACCTAGTGGGGTTGAAATTTCCCTCAATGCTATTCTGGATAACAACAAAATATCTGCAAAGAAGCTTCAAAGGAGCTTCTTTGAATGCTAGGTCCTAAACTTAGTGGATAGTGGGTCTAGCTGCAACTTTATCCTTGAAGTTCCCATGTAGCCTCTTGTTCGACCTTTTGGAATCGACATTGGAAATATTGCTATTTATCTATTATTCCTATCTCAACCTTTAGATACACAAGAAGGCTATTGCCTATGTCTCGCATTGAGGATAAGGCGAATTTTTTAGGAGAGAGTATTGATAGAGTTTCAAGATAATGGGTGATCTAGGAAGATAGATATTATAAATATATATTATTTTTAATTTATTTTAGATATTTTCTATTTAATAATATTGTTTAGATTTTATTTAGGTATTTAGTTATCTAGATTTTATATAGATATTTAGATATCTATATATTTATCCAGATATCTAGTTATTTAGATTTTATTCAGATATTTAGTTCTTTAAATTTATTTAGTAATTTATATAGATATAGATTCTAGGAGATTTTATTAAGTTTTATTTAATTATCTAGTTATGTAGATTTTATTCATTATTTCAGATTGTATTTAGCATTATAAATATGCTTAGCAATTTAGAAGCAGACATGTCATGAATAAAACAGACTTTTGAGACTTTTGGCGCTTTGGAGATTTTCCTGAGCATGGTTATTGAGAGAAGTATAGAATGAGATTCTTATTTTATATCATCTTGATAGATTTATTTCTTCCATTTTCTTTTATCAGTTTTATATTCTATTATTAATATTATGAAGTTAGATTCTGATTTCATATGTTAATAAAGATTTATCTTCCTTATTTCTCTCTACCCATCTTGGATCGTGTCAAACTGGCTAGAAAAAATAAACAAAGACAAGGAACCCTTCAGTTGTAGGGCTACATTTTGATGCAGTTGGTTTAAAATGTCACTTATAATTTTACTTTTTTTTTTCCAAGGTATTTGGGGAGGAAAAGGGCAGGGGAAATCATTTCAAACAGAACTAATATTTCAGGCAATGGGAGTTGAACCTGTGATAATGTCTGCTGGAGAATTAGAGTCAGAGAGAGCTGGTAAGTTGGAATTGGTTTCCTTCCATCAATGCTGTTGTTTCAAGGGGAAAAAAATCTAATATTGAAAGATAAACACAAAAATGCCTTTTTATTATGATATATTAACATGTCAATGAATGTTATGTCTCACGTGTCAACTATTTAGAAAATGAACTCTTCAAAAATTGTTGTAACTGTTTCTTTTTGTTGCAAGTTTTTACCTATCTTGAACTGTAATTTAGCTACGCACCCCTCTATTTTCTTTTTCAATCTTGACCCCTAATTATATGCCTATATAGTTTTTCTTGGGCCAGATATGCATATATGGATATACCCTTTCCTGTGATTTTTTTTTAAGGAACAGCTTCTTGTAAATCTGGTCAAATCACACCATACAGCAAATTTCACGTGCAGGAGAGCCAGGAAAATTGATTCGTGAGCGCTATAGGACAGCATCTCAAGTGGTCCAGAATCAAGTTAGGAGTTTTATCATTTTCGTTCTTAACATATGTATGTCTTGGTTGGAAGTTAAAAGTGTTACTTTATATTATCAGTTACATGACATTTATTTTGGAAAAAGACCATATGGAAGTAAGAAGATTCCCTCATGTTTTAAGATGAGCATTATGATTCTGTCTTCTTTATTTGATGTTTAATGGAACTCTGCAGCAATAAGCTATCATTCCATGATGAACAGACTGGAAATATAAAAAAGATATATCGAAAAAGAAAACTTCTGGAACAGTTCAAGGTTAAGCATAGATATTTTATTCCACTACCCTCTTATGCCGTCTACAGAAAGTAATGTTTGTATCAGAAATATCTTTTGTAACTTATAAAGTGACTTTAGTTTTCGAATTTCACAATAAGATTTTTTTTTACTACATCTTTTTGTTCTGTGCCTTTTCTTCTTTTATTTACCACTATCCTCCCATCTGTAGAACGTGTCTTGTGCCTTGGCATGTGCTAAATGATTGATTTTTATTAATTCAACTTTACCATTAATATAAGGCAATTCACATGTGAGGGAAATATAAAGATTTGGGAAAACATAATCTTTGGTCTTTATAATTTTATTGGGTTTTGCTTTTAGTCCCTGTAGTTTTTTTCTAGTGTTTTCAGTCCCTATAGTTTTAAAAAGATTGGGTGACCTTTGTTTTCTAGGTCCTCATAGTTTCTATTTTTCAATGGAGTACTGAAAAAAACTACAAGAGCTAAAAGTAAAAGCCAATGAAACTATAGGGACTAAAAATTATGTTTTCCCTAAAGATTTCTACCTTTAATATAATCAGTGGTTGATTCACTCACTCTGCTTTGCCTTTTAGTGGACTGTTGCTGTGTAAAAACATTAGGTTTTCTGATGCTGATGACCAATATGTTTAGTGTTCACCTAAGAGACACTCATTGGCTAAGACAGTTTAAAATAAAAATCCCCCCAAAAATAAATCTTCATGTTTCTCTTTCCTTTCTACACTTCCTTTTTTGGTTTTTGTTGCTCTAGGGGGCTGTTTTTATCGTCCTCTCATTAATTGTCTTCCTATCTAATAAAGCTTTTTATCTATTTGGAAAAAAAAAATGTAGGTAATTTTTTGAAATAAAATTATTTATATCTGTTTTATAGCTAGATGCAATCTTTGTTTCTCGACTAATGTTGTTGCTTTTCCTTCATCGGCTAATATATTATAGCTGTTTCCTGCTTGATTCAGGGAAAAACGAGCTGTTTGATGATCAATGATATTGATGCTGGCCTTGGTAGATTTGGTGAGCTAATATATGATCACAGTCAGAGAAATGAAAATATAGAAACTAGAGAAATATGATTACGTCTTTATTATTATTCCCATTATTTTTCTTCATTATTCTTGGGCGTGTTTTCATGTGATTGTATGTCTTTTCATGCTCTATTTCTTCAATTACACGGTTACCTGATCTCCTCATTGAACATAATTTTTCTGTTTCGACATAGGCAATACTCAAATGACAGTCAACAATCAAATTGTTGTTGGGACTCTTATGAATCTAGCAGACAATCCTACAAGAGTTAGTGTTGGCCAAAATTGGAGAGAAACAGATATCACAAATAGAGTTCCAATAATTGTAACAGGCAATGATTTTTCTACGATTTATGCTCCACTGATACGAGATGGAAGGATGGAAAAGTTCTACTGGTAAGTAGTATCTTACTCTTATGGCCGTAGAACTTCCCATTTTTTAAATTTGGAGCAGTTTTTTTTTGGGTGATGTCTAGATAATAGTGCCTTGGTATTTTAACATTATGCTTCTTATACGTGATGGCATCAACAGTAACAAGCCATAAGGAAGTTAGTGGTTTCTTGATCAATGTCAAATTAGCAGTATATTTCACATTTTTATCACGGTTACATTATATGTCATATGGCTTCTGCAATTTCCTTAAATTTTCTTATTTCATGCATTTTGGTGAACCATGTCTCCTCTCTGAGATGTAGTCTATGAATGTGAAACAGGCAACCTAATCGAGAAGATATTGTCAATATCGTTCACAGAATGTATGAAAAAGATGGTATTTCTAAGGATGAAGTTTTGAGAGTTGTGGACACTTTTCCTAATCAAGGTATAAGAATTTTTCATTCTCTTGATAAGAGTACAGTGATATTAACCTGAAAGAACATGTTATAGTTACCTCATTCATACCTTGGGCTGGTAAGGTTTAGATATGCCTGCCCATCGGTAGTCCATTTTACTGTGTTAGACTGTTCATATTCTCTGTTGAATGCATTTCATCAATATGCGTTTCTTATCAAATATGGTGCTTAATATAAAAGTATGGAGGCATCCTTTCTGATATACCAGTTCTATTGATGATTTGGTTATTGACAGCTCTGGACTTTTATGGAGCTCTTAGGTCTCGCACGTATGACAGATCAATTTTGAAGGTATAAAGAAGCCTTTGTTTAGCTTGAAAATAACAATTTGTTTCACACCCAGTTGTTTCATTCTCATGTAGTGAAATTATTAATTTCCATTATCTTCTCGCATATTATTCATTATGTAAATAATTTGGATCTGAAAGTAAATTTTACTCATTCTAAGAGCATGAATATATACAAGAGGGACAAGCCTTAATATTTATGCTCTTATGACTGACTCATATGACCTATAATTTCAGAATAATATCTCTATCATAATTACATAATATCTACATATTAAATTCTAATATTCTAACACTCTCCTTCAAGTTGGAGCGTGGATGTTGTTAAGCATGCCCAACTTGTCACATAGACATTTAACCTGAGCTATATCAAGAGCTTTTGTAGAAAGATCATCTAGTTGTTCTCCAGTGTGTACATGTCCCATGGAGATGAAGATCTCCTGAATCTTGTCACAAACAATCAATCTTGATGTGCTAAAAGCATTCATGAAACACTAGATTGATGCTACGTGTAGCGCTGCTTTACTGTCACACTGTAACTTAGCTGGTAATGAAGTTTTGAGGCCAACTTTCTTCAATAAATATCCAGGGAGCTCCTCCCTCTTGTATACATATTCATGCTCTCAGTATAATATCCCTATCATAATTACAGAATATCCACATATTAAATTATAATATTCTAACACATTAAAAGTTAACTGTGGGTATTATATAGTATCCCAAACAGAATTCTTCACCATGCAGCTCTTGAATTTGTTCCATTTAGCAAATGAAGAAAATATTTATTATGAAAAGAGACTTCATGTGGCTTAAGATGCTTCCAGATGAACTCCTAAGAAGTAAATAATAGTGAACTTGTAATCCATTTTGGGTTTTGGATAAATAGTCAGATGAAGTCATCTGCATAGACAAATCATTACCTGCACACTTGCCTCATCAGTCTTCCCTCTGTTACATAATACATTTGGGAGTTTGATCAATGGTTTGTGTCAGGACAACTGCCATTCGTTGTTGTTTTCGTCCATATAGGATAATGGGGAATGCAGTTTAAAAAAATATTCAAATTTATATTTTCTAATAAGGATTTTTATTAACGACGGATTGTAACTTCGTGGTGGGTTGTATCCATTTAGTGGGTTGATGACATTGGAGGTGTTGAAAATTTTGGAAAGAAGCTTCTCAGTAGGAGAAAGGACAACAACCTTCCTGCATTTACTCCTCCAGAGGTATATATTAATAAGCAACCCTAGTTTCCTGGTTCTCCCTTTATTTTTTATCTTGCTTGTGCTGTTCAAGCTGATGAAAATTAGCAGCGGATCAATTATTGATGAATTGTTACTTTAGTCCACTTATCAGTTTTAATTGAACATGAAGCAATAACAGCTAATTTAAACATTAAAAAAATAACGCACATCATTAAATTTTCAGTACTTTTGAAATCGACTCAACTGATCCGATTAAAACTCAACTAGTTATGAATAATCCTTGATATCATGCTATCCTGTGTATGTATTTATGATTGTCGTTTGTCATTGATTTATAGGAGATCAAAACACTTTTTTTTTTTTTATTTAGATGCCTTCAATTCGGTATTCAATATCACATTTAAAACTTATTTCTGAAATTAAAGGGGTTAATGACTATTTTACCACACCCACACCCATGTCATGGCAAGAGTAGAACCTCAACCTTATTCTCCCTGCAGTCCCTGTTATAGGACATCTTCTAGAAAGATTCTTTGGTCATTAATATAAGGAATGAAGGGTTATTTATTATCATTTTTTAATTTTACTCGTGTTGTAAATTTAATTTTAGGTTCATTGTGTATTGTGTATCTCTCTCTTCTTATTTGTAATAAAGGTAAAGCTGGAAAAAATTTTCACTTTAAGACATATTTAATAAGTTAATTGTCATTTTCTTAGTTTCAGTGAAGTAACTGAAAGAACTTTATAATATGAACTGGAGGGAGTATTTCAGTATTTCTTAATGCTTTCTTAAATTGACAACATAGATACTGCTGACCCCTGTTCGTCAATTTCTTCGTCTGTCAATATTGGGGTGTTCTCTTTTATACCAAACACAAACATCTCTGGAGTCAGACTTTTAATATTTGAAGCACATTCATATATAGACCAGAAAATTCACATGGATACTATCTGGACTTGGTTGATGCTCGACCCTTCTTTTCTTTTCATTCTGTCACATTGATTTCTTTTGTGAAATTCGGATGTCAAGTTAAAACTAATTGGTTTTGTGTGTCATTGAATAGCAAACAGTGGAGGCTTTGCTGGAGTCAGGTTATTCACTCATCAAAGAACAAAAGTTGATAATGGAAACTAAACTTTCCAAGGAATACATGAAAAATATAGATGACTAGAATTCATTATATGTAGTATGCTTCAACCAGGCTGCTTCCCTTGTATCATATCCCATTTTTCAGATGAAGAAAGTGTGAAATTTTGTACAATAACAATGTAATTTCTGAAATTTTATCTTGAGGTGCAAGCTAAACAGCTTGCTTACAGTTGTTTTATAGAAATTATTAAAGTAAATAATTCAAAATCATTTGTACATTCAGAGTTCTAACTTCCAATCCCTGATTGACGATGATGATGATAATGGTGTGAGTGTTTTGCAGAAAATTTTCAAATTCCAAAAAAATGAGCACCGTTCAATTGGAAACTTTTAAGTAGTCTTTGAAGTTTTGAGGCCCATTCATCAAATTAAGATTTAATATTACACAAGTCATCTCAGCCTTGACTCTGTTTCTGTCTACCACTGATCTGAATTGGGACAAAGCAGCCCACCAACAGAATGGTTTGACTATGGCATGTGGCATATTGGCATGGTCTTATACCACGCAAAATGTCATTGCGCGTCTGGGCCCACAGGATGAGACCTATTTGGCTATCACAGAAAAAGAATATATGCAAATCTGACACACACAAAATGGTTTGGACTTTACGCTTTTTTTTTTTTTAAATGAAGAAAAAGAAAACAAACAGAATTGGATAATCCTGGTAACCCATGTGCTGCTCCATTGGTTGTTTTCTAGAATACTATCAACTGCTACGAAATTTATTCTTGGTATGGAACTAATTCCACACATTCCCATTTACCTATTTCAATCATCAGATAAAAAATCCATATACCCTCAAGACAGGGGATGGCATTTCCTCTGTTTGTGGCAACAAAAGTAGTCCTGATCTTTGCACAGTAAACAGAGGATAACAATGAGACTCTGATTCTTTCTGGTCACAACTTATCATTCTTTTTTTCTTTTATTTGGGTATGAACCTAAGTCATCCATTCATATAAGTTAACATATCCCAGAGGAATCCGGATCATTTACTTTTTAATTGTTGGAATCCAATGCTTGAATAACTTTAAAAGTTGCAACTTTGTGTGATACTAACTTGGATTACAAGAATAAAGCAGCCAAAAGAACTTTTCTGTTACACCATTCCAAGTATTAAGAGGGATATATATTTTGTATCAGTACTGACAATTTCTGTCCAAGTTAGTGCTATAGATTGGAATATCAAACACTTAGGTAAATTTTAGATATTCTAAAACATGAAGAACAAACATTGGTCGTAGTTCTTGTCTAATTGGTTTTGGCCAAAAGGAAGAAAATGTGTGATAAAGAAGAATAAAAGAATGTCAGATCTTAGTGCTAAGAAGAATTAAAGCTTAATAAAGAAGACTTAAAGATGTTTTATTTGACTTAAGCACAAATGAATGGTGGGTCCCAGGTTGAGATCACTTTTTTTTTTGGTTGTTTGTTTTAGTTGACGTGTGAACCATTCAATATTCAACATCATCAACTAGTAAGAATCTACGAGGAAAAGTTTTCCCAACATAGTATTTATCATTCACAGAGCTCAATAAAGAAAGTGTGATAAAGCTTATAAAAAAAAAGTATGATAAAAAAGAATACCAGAACCCAATATTATTGCTTTTGATTATAGGAAGAATTATAGTTAAGTCTCTTATAAGGGACTTGTTTATATTTAGGTTCTTTTTAACTTAGACTTATACATTGACAATTATAATATGTTCCCTCTGATCCATATTACTCATTACATTTTAAATTATAGGACACTTTTAAAAATTTTTTTATCCCAAATATAAGACATTTTGAGAAGATTAATGTTTCATTAAATGCACCAATTTTAATATTATATTTTCTCTCTCTAAAATTAATTTTAATTAATTTTCATTCATTCGCTTTTCAATATATTAAATGATGGATATTTTAAAAGTTTATATTTTTATTTTGAAAAGATAATGTTATTAAGTGTATTTAATGAGATTTATTGATATGTGAGATTTTATCTAAAAATATCTTATAATTTAGGATAAAGGGAGTATTAGAGATCTTTGACCATCTTACAAAAACCAAGGAAAGTTAGTCAAACCATTAAATTTGTTTGAAAAAGAATAAACTTTTAATTTTACTCATATTAAATAAAAAAATTTAAATTTATATTACATTCTCTTTCATAATTAATGAATTTAAATTGGGGTCATATTAGAAGGATGTAATCAATACATCACCAAATGCCTTGCATTAAAGGACCATTAATCTCTTATAGAAGGTGTCTTATAAAGACATGAGGGTATACAATATTAACAATTATTTTTTACTGATGAACAAATGGATCTAGTAAAAGAAGCTAATCTCTCTCAACATGATAAATAAAGTTTGAATCTTTGCTGAAAGATATCTCTACATTTAGCATATGCCTCTTGAATAAGATTACTTTTAATATAAGAATATATATGTGTAATAAAAAACTATTTTTTCAACAAAAGAATTTGAGTGTAGACATGTCCTAAAAAAAAAAAAAATAAGTAAGCATAAGCGAATTATGTTTGGTATGATCCGGTTTCATTGCCAAACAGAATTTCTGGTCATCATTCCAATGCTAATTCTATATGTTAATTTTAATCATATTCTTGAGTGCCAAACACAGGCTGAGGATTAAGAAATTAAAGAAGGGTTATGATTGTTTGACTCAAGCAGAGATGCTGTGTGGGTCCCATGCTGGGTTACTTTTTTATTTGAACACTGAAAGCAATATTCTAAATTAGGGGCAATTACCGGTAAATTTTAAGAGGATTAATTAATTTAAATTAAATTTTAAATGTTAAATTTAAGAATCTATAAATTTATCTTTTAATTTGTAATTTTGTTATAATAAACTTATAATTTATTTTTTAAATTTTAATATGATTAAAAAAAATAAATAAATTTATTTTTTATTAAAATTTGAAATGCAAGTTACAAATTTATTACAACAAAATCATAAAATTAAAAGTCAAATTTATAAATTCTTAAAATTTGATACTTTGGATCTAATTCAAATTAATTCACCTTTCTATCATTCTCCTATTCTAAACTGGGTGGGGTGGCATCCTCTGTTTCATTTTGGTGACAATATTAATGGTTCTTTTCATGATGTCCATTTTGTTTCCTCTTATATATAATGTCCACACACACTCTCTCTCTATATACATATATATATTCAAAGCCAGAATGATCTCAATGGGTAAGCCAAGTTGAGGCATCAATCCAATTGATTTTCTCAGTGAAGTTTCTGTGTCGTCACTATTTGGCTCTCTATGTAATAATTTATTAAAAAATTTTGTGGGGCAGAAGAAAAAGGAATATCGAGAGACAAAGATATGCCACTTCCATTATATATACTTGCATTTTTTTAAACAAATGATCTAGTATTTAATTTACTAACTATTCTGTCTGGTTTCATACCCAAGGTATATTCTAGAAGTTTTTGGTATTCAAAATATAAGTAACGTTATGAATTAAATTGAAAAAAAACTTGACAGTAAAGTCCAAAAGATTAAATTAATAATAGTTAAGTCTTTGCATTTTTTTTTAAAAGTTACAATATCAATTTAGCTAATTGTAACAAAAATCCTAATTGCTAACTGTGAATTATATTTAGTTTAGTTAAATATTTTAATTTACTCAATTAGAACTTCTAAATTTACAATTATTGAATTAATATTCATAATTTATTTTTTAAACAACTTTTAGTTATCAGAATTCTAACTATCATTAATGTTAGTTTGGGACTTAACTTTTAGGAAAAAATATCAATCAAGGACAAAAATAATTCATATCAATTAATGATTACTTGTTGTTAAAACTCAAATAGATACTTATTGATTAATGTCGATCTTTTATTAATAAGTAATATTTAAATTTTAACAACAACTCATTTTAAATTAACACCCAGTGCCTTCACACTTTTTTTCATTTGAATTTTAACAACAATTTATCTGATAAAATTTCTTCAAATAGTCCTCATTCCATTTTCCTATTAACTTTATTTTTTCTAAAATTTTGGCGGCATTGAATTAATTTCCCCCTCCCCCCCCCCAAATTTGTCTCTCGTTAAGAATTATGATGCTATATGCAATCAAAATGGTGGAGAAAGGGATTAAGAGAGAAATAACTATGATGAGGTTACCATTTGATGAGGGTAATTTTGAAAACTTGGGATAATTTTTTGAAAAGTTCATGAGTTACAACTCATTTTTAACAACCTTTTTTGGTCCTAAGATTCCTTCTTCTTTTTCCCTTTTAAGTGCTCAATCCCTTATGCCTTTGTCATTAATAAATGTATATTTGGAAAGGTGTAAGTAGGAATGAATCATTGATAAACTCAAGTAAAAGGGGGTTAATTAGGTAAACTCTTAAACAATTTGGAGAAGACAAGGACACATCATTTAAAGTGTAAAATGCTTTTCTTAAAAAATAAAAAAAAAAACTAATTCACGCTTTTAAATATCTAGTCACCACTCCTTGTATTAGGAATTTGCATTTCCATTAGCCCCAACAAATCTTTTTTGACATTTTGTGAGTAATGAATGTTGATAAAGTTGGACATGCTTGCTTCTTCTAGATATTAGGTAAACTCTTAAACAATTTGGAGGAAGACACATCATTTAAAGTGTAAAATGCTTTTCTTAAAATATAAAAAAAAACTAATTCACGCTTTTAATATCTAGTCACCTGTATTAGGAATTTGCATTTCCATTATCCCCAACAAATCTTTTTTGACATTTTGTGAGTAATGAATGTTGATAAAGTTGGACATGCTTGCTTCTTCTAGATGAATCGGATTACTTTTAATTTATTTAAAAAATGAGATGTTAGAAAACTTTACTTCTACTTGTTAATGAATTAAGAAACTAATACTTTTTAACTGCCTCAAAAGCAATGAAAACTTTTGATTCATAATAAATTTTTAAAAAAATTTATAATAATAAAAATAATATTTTATTTTAATCCATCAATACATTTCAATCAAGTGAAATAATTTTTATTAATAATTTATTTTTATTAACCAAAGTAGCAGTCAAATTATATATTATGTAACAGTGATTATATGAAAGTTTTTGTTAAGAAACACTTTCTATGTTATTGCATTTATTAATTTTATATCTAATGAAGTGATATGACTACATCATTGTATGAGATTAATTATAATATTTTTAAACCAGGGATCAAATTAATTAGAGTATATAAATTAGAGATTAAGTTAAAAATATTT